TCCGCTTCATGTGTCCTGAGGCGTCTTTCTGCCAAGCAGTAGAGCTGGCGTCTGATGACACAAACATGGTGAAAGATTGTATAGGCTAGAAGTGCTGCATACATTTGTCTCATGAACTGGTTATGCCTTTATAATACTTACTGGTTGTCTTCCTGATGATCATGAACCTGCGGATGAAGCTGGAGTCGGTGAACAGCAGCTCAAACATCTTGTTGGCACTGATGTGGAACACCTTGTTTATAAAAAGTCGACCCTGGACCTCGGACGTTACCACTCGTTCCTCCACTAGAAAGAGAGAGAGAGAGAGGAGAGAGAGGAGAGAGAGAGGAGGAGAGAGAGGAGAGAGGGAGAGAGAGAGAGAGAGAGAAGATGAAATATTAACAAACAAAAGAAAAAGAGCGGAAGTATTCACCAGTGCCTCCTCTTACCATCCTCATTCGTTTCGGAGCCGCTCTGCTCGGACGCGTCGTTCTGGTTGGCGTTGAGGTCGAGAGAAAGAGCCGATCGCTTGGAAACCCGTTCTGGGGCGAGGCGGTCCAGCGAGGGAGCCGGACTGCGCCGCTGAGAGGGGGGGCTGCGAGCATCTTCCTGCAGGAGGGAGATCAAAAACAATAAGATTAAAAAGGGGACCTATTATGCTTTTGGGTTTTCCCTTTCCTGTAGTTTGTTATATAGTTTTTGTGCATGTACAGTAAATGCACTATTTAACACTCACACTTCTATTGGCTAGCACTCCTACACACTGTACGTGATTTGACACATGCACAGTCAACGTAATAATAAAGGATAATATGTAATACCATGTTTGGAGAGTTGTGTGAGCCGAGCGGCGAAGGGAAGTCGTCCCCTGGAGTGGAGGCCTCTAAGGGCCCGTTCTCCATCCCGGGGAGGCGAAGGGAATGCGGGCGCTCGAGCCTCCCTACACCCTCATCACCACCAGGCCTCGCTGTCTGCAGGCTGCACACACACGCACACACACACACACACACACACACACAGGTTGGCATCACTATCACGGCACACAGTGGAGGAACAAGTACTCCGATTCTTTACTTAAGTAAAAGTACAAATACTAGGGTATTTAAAAATACTTCATTTTAAGTCAAAGTAAAGAATTCAAAATGTTACTCAAGAGAAATGCAGAATAATTTTCAGTATTAGTATTAGCAGTACGGTACCACATCTTATCATATATCATGTGTTTTTATACATAAACTAGTAACTAAGAGTGTGAAACATTTTTTAAAAGTACAACAATTGCCAACAAAATAGAATTTGGAAATGGAATACAAGTATGTAGAATAAAATACAAATACTCAAGTAAAGTACAAGTTTGTCAAAAGTGTACTTAAGGACAGTACTTGAGTGAATGTACTTAGTTACTTCCCACCACTGACAGCACAGTATGAGTGTGTGAAAGTTGAACCTACCTGGTATGCATGCTTGTTTCTGACATGTGTAAACTCTCCATCTCCTCATGGCTCAGACCCAGGTCATTCCCATAATGCTGTTTGACCATCTGCCACAACTCCAAGCTGGTTAGAGGCTGGAAGAGAATACATGGAAACATCAAGGCTTGTTTGGAAACCATATCTGTTCCTCCTACATAATAAAAAGGACAGATAGAAACCATAATATGAACAATAAACTGCAGGTGACTCAGAGTCTAAAGTAGGTAACCTGGAAACATGCAGCCTTCACACAGCACCATTACAGTCTTATCTCCATGGGGGACAAACACTCAAACCCTTTAAACCTATAGAAGCGCAACTTAACAAACATACTTAAACAAGATGTGCGGTTCCATATGGCGGAGGGATATAAACAGTCTGTATTATTGCCACTCCGACGCCCTTTTTTGCATAAAATCCGACGGGGAAATTACGTTTTTTTTTTTTTTAAATATAGAACCACATACGGTGTTCTATCGCATTTAAACCCCACATAAAGTTACAGATCCATTCACAAAGACTTTTCCTTACTTGTCAGAGGCCATTTCCCCGCAGCTGTGAGCTTCAGCCCTCTGTAGACACTTATCTGAACCTGGACGCACAGTCAGGAAGTGCTGGTCTGAAGACGCACCGCCCTGATTAACACCGTGATAAAATGTAAATAAATGCTGCTGTTCTAACTGTGAACACTCCGGTTCAGTGACAGTTCACATGCCAAGAAAAAAAACTCCTGTTTTGACACGACTCCGTTAAAAGTCTCCGGTACGTGCAGCGCGGTTTGAGGCAGAATCCAAATGAGCCCTCATTGCCTCACCTGAGGTCAATGAACTCTGAAGCGGGTGTTTTTAAAACAGGTGTTTGTGCTGCGGATCCCTGCAGACTTACACCCCCTGGGTAGGCTGCCATAGTGCCTGTCTTTAAGAATAGTTTAGTGTAGGCAAGGCTGCATGGTTCCTCCTCTTAACAATGTATTCAAATCTATTGCCACCATAGTCATTTAATAGGATCTATTTCATATATGCCGATTTTCCAAATAAGGCTGCCTATGCTTAGCTGTTGGTTTCCTTTTAAACTACTTCCCTGACATACTTAGGGCGAATTTATATTAAAGGGGCCCTATTATATCCCATCCTGTAGTGTGTTATATTGGTTTTAGTGCATGCAAATGGTCTGCAAAGGCTAAAATCCCTGTGTTCCTTCTAGAGTAAGTTTCTCTCCCACAACTTATCATATATTGCAACTAGGGCAGTCAAGTTAACGCAAAAAAAAATTAACGCCACTAATTATTTTAACGCGATTAACACATGTGTATTTTTTCCCTCGGCCGCCCCGTAGTTTCAGAGCGCATCGAGTTTAAAATACCATCTACAAGCTGATGCTGACAGCCCCGCTCCTGCCGCCCGCTTGTGGCAGACCACACTTCCACGCTCACCGGCAGGCACCGACTGGCTATTGGGAGGACCGGGAGGGTGTGTGTATGTGTGGCTCGAGCGAGCGAGCGAGCGAGAGAGAGACCTTACGTGCATTGTTGTTGTTAGCATCTGGTGCTAGCTAGCTGCGCTAACGGATATGGAGCTGTTTAAATGAAAACAGAGGAGCGACATTTCGCCACAACTGCACCGAGCACTTGACTTTATGCAGGCAGCCAGACAGTGGGACATTGTACGAGAAGTCAGCACACTCAGCACGGATAGTGCGCAACATGATTGCAGCGTCCAGGCAGCTCCCGTTCGAGCATATGCCTTCTCACACACACACACACACACACACACACACACACACACACCACACACACACACACACACACACACACACCACACACACACACACACACACACACACACACACCACACACACACACACACACACACACACACACACACACACACACACACACACACACACACACACACACAGTATTATTGTATGAGAGGTTCCAGGTTGGCAAATATTTGTAATGTTCAGAGGTTGTTGTGTTTAATATTCATGAGAATATTTGTCATTGTTCAAATGATAATAAACATTTGCATAAAGCATATTTGTCCACTCATATGTTGATAAGAGTATTACAAACTTGAAAAATATTCCTCTAAGGTACATTTAGAACAGATCAAAAATGTGCGATTAATTTGCGATTAATCGCGATTAACTATTTTAATCGACTGACAGCCCTAATTGCAACACTATTAACAAATTGAGTAATTACCCTCCAACTTCTGTACAACATCTCACATGTTTGCACCTGCAGTGTTTAAACTAGGAAATTAACTTGCTCTGAGTATTTACAAAGCAAAGACTGCCAAACACAAATACATGCGTCGAGCTGAGGAGGTTTAACTATATTCCTGACACGCACACAGATAAAAACACTCCTCCGTATGTGGAACGATGAAGAAAAGCTGTGTTGGATTCATGCACAAACCTCACTGCGTGCAGATCTTTACCCTGTGTATGATAACCTCAGAGGAAGACGGCTTCATGTACTCTGAACGATTACATAAGCAGAATGTTTTAAAGCCTGCTGGTGCTGTGGGAGTCACAGCAGTCAAATGATTGTACAACAGAAGTGTATGTTGACAGGGTTTGTGCTAAAAATGACTCAAGATATGAAAAGGGAGTAAACGGCATGGTCAGTGGAGGAGGAGACTGCACAGGGCCGTACCTTGTCCAACAGGGTGTTCTGCCACATGCGGAAAACTCCCTGGTAACTCTTCTCTCTTGCTGAGAAGGACGTGAAGAAGAACTGCAGGTGTGAAGAGAAACAAAGTTATTTTGTGTCTTATAATTGGGAAATTGATCAGTCTCTTCTCTAACATGATATACCTTGTCTGTTGCCGTGCAGACCTGGATGGCATTGGGAATTAGACGAGCGGTTTTCTCTCTGGTCATACTCGTGATGTCTTTGAGAGTCATTGTAATCTAGAAAAGAGTTTAAAGGTCACACACATGTTTATAAAAGGGTGCTATAAAGAAAATAATCTAGCTTTGGAAACCGTTACGTTGTCCACCGAGTTATTTTGTGATGATGTCATCATGACATAGCTCACACACACTGCCACAAGTGTTGTAGCTACAGTGTCTTCTTTGTTATTTTTTACTCTATTTAAACTGTTGCACGTGGTGTAAACTACAATCTCTCACTGTTGACAGGAACATTCGATATATCTTCCAAAAAATGGACCAGATATCGAACTTTTTTTGGGTTAGATTTGTTTAAATGTATTGTTTAATGGTGGATTTTAAATTCTTCACACTGTATACGTTTGTCATACTTTAAAAAGAGAGTATAATGTGAGCAGTGGGAATGAGATAATACTATTGGAAATGGTGCAAATGGTTACAGATGTGTCTTCAGATCCAACCATGTGCCGTTACAGCAGTGGTTCTCAAACTTTTTCTGTCAGGCCCCCCCTTTGGAGAAAAAAAAAAGTCGGGCCCCCCCAACACAAATAGTCAGGCTCAGTGGCGGCGCCAGAGATTTATTTTGGGGGTGCTGTGGGGTAGCTTGACGTTTCATAGAGGGTGCTCAAACATTTAGGGTTTCCCTTTAATGTCCCGGTCGCTACAGTGGAATTTTCTACTGCAACATTCCCCACGCATATACACAGTGTACCCGCGACTGTTACAACGAAGGCTCGATAATCAGCTCACGGCATATAGGTGTAAGCAGGGGTCAAGTGCTATTTTTATAGGTGGTGTGTGGACCTCACATAGTGGGGTTCGGGGCAAGCTCCCCCGGGAAGATTTATTTTTAAATATTGAAGTTAAAAGCATCAATCTGGTGCACTTTGAGAGCAAAATGAAGAGACCTATGGATACCTCTCTCAACACCCATTTGAAACAGAACTGGAAACAGATTTACTTTTTCTTTATGGATATTTTACAAATCACTCCCCTTTTAAACTTTATTCTTGTTTTACTGTCATATAGTATTTCATACCTGTTTTTCTTTTATTCTCTTATTTTTTTATAACTATAATGATCTAAACGTGTGCCTCGGAAATAATTGTTTACATTAATGGTGACCAAAACGTTTGAGACCCACTGAGATAACACAGAGAGTCCTTTAGCTCACTGAGCCTCTCAGTTTGACAGGAGAGGATTCTCTTCCACCTTGTTGTTGAAAAAACTCCTTATATCCGTTAGCGTAGCTCGCTAGGACCAGAAGCTAACAGCAACGATCTCCGGTACGCTCTCTCTCTCGCTCACGCACACAAAATGGCTCGTTCCACACACACAGAGCTGAGCTTTAATGAAACAGAGACCCAGATGTAATAGTACTGCATCATATTATTTTCGAATCAATAATTTTTCAAATTATGATTTTTTTGTTGTTGTATATAACCATTTTTCCTCCTGGTCTCTCGCGCCCTCCCTGGCATGCCTCTGCGCCCCCCAGTGGGGGCGCGCCCCACACTTTGAGAACCACTGCGTTACAGTAATGTGAACACAGTCTGCTTCTCGACTGAAACCCCCTCCTCCGCTCTCTTCTCACCTTTGTACCCCGAAACACGTTGCTGTAGAAGCAGAGCCAGTTCTCTGTCAGGTAGAGTCGTCCCTGAAGGAGGATGTCCCGCTGCAGGGCACACGTGTAGTCTGAGGGAAGATATAATGCAGGGCAACCATCAATAAAGAAAGAGTGTTTGCTTGTATTTAGAAAACAGGTCACAGTGGAAAGATGTTGTGGTAAGAGAGGAAGAAACAGACCATATGTAAATACTTAATATTAAATGAACTGATCTCCATCTCCAAGAGTATTAAGACGTGTTGGAAATCATAGTCTTGTGGTTTGTAATGCTGCCGTGTCATGCTGAGTTAGAGGTCACATGTCCAGTCATGATCACTTCCCATTTAATGAAAACAGTGGTTTATCTGTAATAAAACACTGAGAGATGTGTGGGATTTTTCACAGTGTGTCTTCAGATATATTTGAGTTGGATTATAAGATAAATATATGGACAGTGATCTCATATTACTCTAAATATATTACCATTTAGATGTTTGTTGTTTTCTTTATTGGTGGTTGTGTTTCTTTGTTGTGATTTACCTATACTCCATGTAAAAATGTGAGTTCTTATTCTGAGAAAAGTGCATCTGTTAAGGAAGCCGATAAATAATTTGTATTTATTAAAAAAAAGAAATCCTAGATGTTCGGGTCTCCAAAGTAGAAGAGATTTCTGTTTGCTTTTGTGTCAATAGTTAGTCTAAGTTATTTTTAAATGTGTTTTCACCATAGAAAAGATTTAGATAAAAAGGGTTAGATTTAGATAAAGGGGTTTAAAAAACACTTTACTCACCCACTATGAGCCTCTCGGACTCGGGCAGCTCTTTGAACAGCTTCTTGAATTCATCCAACCTCTGCTTGTAGGTGGGCAGAGGAGACGGAGCAGGGAGACACTGGCCCTGAGGGTCGGAGGAGCTCTGAGGGAGGACATTCAAACATTACACACACACTGAGAGAAAGACATAGGCAACGTCCATATTTTATTCAGCAGAACAAGTCTTTCTCCTGTGTGTGATTCTAATCTGAGGTTAAAAAGGGTAGACGGGATGAGATTTGAAATGATCTCCTGTGAGTTTCAGAGGATGATAAACAGCATTATGAGCCTGTGGGGCTTTGCATCATGAAGGAAACAGCAGTCCCACTTGTGTGAGGGGAAACATGCCCCCCAGGAGGGCCATGAAAGAGTTTCCATGTCATACATTATCATAAATTAATGTATACAAAAGCAGATGTGTGTTTACTGGACAGTTTTAAATGTACCAATTCTTCATCAGAGCTCCACTGGACATCCAGCATGGACGTGGAGTCATCTGTAACATCCTCACTGCCCACTGCGGACCGGGGCGATAGCTGGTCCATCTCTTCTGTGCTGCTCATACAAAAAAAGAAGATGTGATGTGTCAAACTTCGTCTTCCACACTGCTATAGATGTACATTACACAAAGTGCAATCTCCCCCGAACCCCCTTGTCTTAATGTGACAGGAGGGGGAATAACTTGTGTGTCTGTGGAGGGCTGAACCAGAACCTCGGAGGGGAACGTCACGGAGCCGCAGCTCCAGGGAAGTCATTATCACGGCTACAGAACTGGTTTGACTAGCAGGGTTAGGCTGGAAGTCAAGTCACGCATCCCAATGAACAGAACACTTTATGCACTTACGACACACCAATGGGAAAGTATCGGTAAGATAAGATGTGTCAAAGTTTAAAACATTGGAGTACATTTTAAGAAACACGCACATAATCAGTGGCTATAGATTTAAGTACAGTTTTAAAGGACTTGAGTTTTACTTCAGTATTGTTTACTCCTTTGTACTTCTACTCAACTATATGTATTTCATATTTCCATTTTATGCTACTTTGTACTTCTACTCCTCTACAGTTCAGAGGTAAATGGTGTACTTGTAGGCCTACTTCACTACAGTTCAGAGGTTAATCATGTACTTCTCCTCCACTACATGTATTTAACACCTTTTAGTTACTTCACAGATCTGGATGAATGATGTGAAATCTAATCAAGTGTTGAATCAGACTTTAGTTCCACCTGGAGTAAATTCACAAGCTACCCTGCAGTATACAAAGTCATTCAAACTAGCTGCACATTCACCAGCTTTGAGAACACTTTGATGATCAATCATTATAAAACATATCATATATATTATTCTGAAACCAGACCAGACCAATCTGCACAATGATAACTTTTATTTTTGGTACTTTTACTTGAGTAACATTTTGAATGCAGGACTTTTACTGTAACAGAGTATTCCTACACTCTGGTACTTTTACCCAAGTACCAGATCTAAGTACTTCTCCCACCACTGCACAGCAACCTAGTGACACTTTCAAACATTGTATGCTTTCAGATTGAATCAGCTGATAGGAACTACTATCTCAGCCATCTTTGACATGTCTAGTCAAACAATAACAACCTGATAAAGCTGATTATCTGATCCGTGCAGCCGGTGTTTCTCAATACTTTTACCTCAACATGTCTCCACATGCGGGCTGCCTGAGATTAAAGTATTGTTGTCACTCACCTGACACGGAGTGGACCCAGGTTGTCTGTGGTTGGAAGTGCGATGTGTTAAAAAATTAATAAAGCCCAGAAAGCACCAATGTGTTCCCAAGCAGTACTGAGGAGGTAAATGTTGTGCACGCGCGTCTTTTTGCAGGTGCATCTCATCCGGACAGGAAGACATACCTTTAGGGAGTTACCGTGTCATCATCAGCGGTGACGCCCATTGCTGGTCACATGCTAAATATCCTCATCTACCTTCATTCACTCCCTTCATATCCGAGGTGGGAGAAGTACTCCGATACTTGAGTAAAAGTAGAAGTACCAGAGTGTAGGAATACTCTGTTACAGTAAAAGTCCTGTAATCAAAATGTCACTCAAGTAAAAGTAGAAAAGTATTAGCATCAACATATACTTAGGCTATACCAAAAGTAGTCATTGTGCAGATTGGTCCATTTCAGAATAATATACATGATATGTTTTATAATGATTGATCATGAAAGTGTTCTCAAAGCTGGTAAAGGTGCAGCTAGTTTGAATGGCTTTGTATTCTGCAGGGGAGCTGGTGGATTTACTCCAGGTGGAACTAAAGTCTGATTTAACACTTGATTATATTTCACATCATTCATCCACATCTGTGAAGGAACTAAAGGTATTAAATACATGTAGAGTAAAAGTACACCATTTACTTCTGAACTGCAGAGAAGTACAAAGTAGCAAAATATTGAAAATCTCAAGTACCTCAAAATTGTACTTAAGTACAGTGCTTGAGTAAGTCTACTTAGTTACTTCCCACCTTTGTGCATTGATGCGTAGTTACAGATGGTTTTGTTAAGATTCACATGATCTTTTTTTATATCAAAACACGCCTCCACACCTTGTATTTATTGGTTACTAAATATAACTGTGCTTTAGAAAAAACAAGTATTTAAACCAATGTTCTATGGACAAAGGGTGCTGGAGAGAGTGATATGCAGACAGACCTGTTCAGCTGCTCTAACTGCACCGTCTGAAACAGCAGTCAAACACACACACACACACACTTCTTTATCCTCATGTTTTAATTATTTGGGAGAAACATGATGAAATAATCAGACAGCAGAGTTTGGACTCGTACACATTCACACAGCAAAGTACACGACACTGCACAGCGTGAAACACAAACGTAAAAAGAAAAAGGCAGACAAAGCCTTCACGTGGAACGCTGGCAATAAATAGGCTGATCTTATATTCAATACTCTTCTGTACAGATGGTCCATGAGTTACAATACATCAACCGAATAATCGTCTCAAGGCAGAGCAACACGGATACACAAAGAAGTCATGTAAACAGAGAAAGGAAGAAACGGGGTGGAAGAGATCCCTCTTTCGTAAACACACACACACACAAACACAACCATGCAGAGGATCCAGAGTTTGCCTACATGTATGAGGCAGAACATAATAATGAATACAGTACATCTTTCTCTTGTCCCTCCACATGAATTTGCACACACTCTGTCACAAAGGGGGCACCGGGGATACAGGGAGGAGGAATGTGATTCTGCAGCGGAGAGATGAGAGGGTTGTGAGAGGCGGCGGATTATTCCTCCAATGTGCGGAAACTGTTCTGCATGTCCTCCAAAAGCTGAGCATATTCGCCCTTGATCTTGGCCTCGCCCTCCTTCACCGGGTCCTGCAGCGACGAAGAAATACAGTCAGGACAGAAAACCTCACTCGACACATTGATTATGTTAAGATTCTGTGGAGTTCAAAGATGTTCTTGGAGACAAAGGGTCCCATCGGAAAAATGCTTAATTTCTAACATGTGCAGCAGCAGACCCAATAAAACGAGTCACAATCGCTCAAAGTTTTAATAGTGTTTAGGTTAAAAACACGTTGTTCTTTTATCTTGAAAGTGTCAGCTTTTTGTGAATATTTGTTGTTTAGTTTGTTAGCAGGATTATGGAAGAACTAGTGGAAGGGTGTTGATGCGCCAAGGAATCACATTTTGGAGAGGATCCAACTCTTTGGTTTGACTTCCTTTCATCTCAGACCTTACAAAAGATAGCGAAAAGTCTAAAATAAAAACCAAATCGGCTAGCTTTTAAAAAGAGAAAACATCAGTATTTTTGCTATTCTATGAATTCATCCAAACCCACCTCTTCAACTCTGTATATCCATAAGCCCCTCCCCCCTCTCAACCAACTTCCTCCTGAGTGCTTTTCTGTTTTGTTGTCGTTTTATTGCCTGTCCTCGTTTGTCTACCCTTCCCCAAATGTAAAGCGTCTTTGGGTTCGAGAAAAGCGCAATAAAAATACAATTTATTATTATTAGAACTTCTAAACACACTCATATGGAGACGTGTACATGCTTTTGCACACACACACACCTTGAACTTCATGGCGCTGAGCCGGTAGAGGATCTCTCCCATGTGCTCTTTGATCATGGCCCAGGTGACCCTGTGGTCGCTCTGAGCCGTGGTCTCCACTGCGTGCCGCGCCATGTCGTAGAAAGAGATCATGTTGGACAGGATGCCCACCGTCTTATAGAAGGGACAGAACCTGAGGAGATAGACACGAGAGTGAGAGTTAAGAGCACAGGAAACGCCCAACAGTGGAGTCTCACTTTCTCTCCTCATCTTCTTTAACTGCGAGTGTGACTGAAGTGTTACCTGTCGTACGGAGTGTAACCGTTCTGCTGCAGGAAGTCGTCTTTGATCAGTTTGGCAACTTCAAGGGTGATTTTATCCGATTCTGCCAGTGATGCCTGTTAAAATGTGTAGGAGCAAAAAATATATGGTTTGGATGGGATTTTCTTCTATGCAAGTCTGACTTTTAAGCTACAATCAGATGAAAGCTAATCATAAAAGAAACCGGCGCCTTTATGATGAAATACCTTTCCGACGAGCTGCACGATCTCCGCCAGGTCCTCCTCCTCCTGCAGGATCTCCTTGGTTTTGGTGCGCAGAGGCACAAACTCTGGGAAGTGTTTGTCGTAATACTCATCGAGAGCGCGGGTGTATTTGCTGTAGCTGATCAGCCAGTTGACGGAGGGGAAGTGCTTCCTCTGAGCCAGCTTCTTATCCAGACCCCAGAACACCTGAGGGACGAGATCAGGGCAACATAAAGTAAAGGCCTGAGCAACTTGAATCAATAAAGCTTGAAAAGAAAAATCTGAATTTGACGATTTACCTGTACAATACCCAGGGTGGCGGAAGTGACGGGGTCAGAGAAGTCTCCACCAGGAGGCGACACACTGAGGAACAAATACATTTAAGCTTTGTATTCTACTTATTTTAACGTCCAAATAATAAAATATAATATTTAATTGAAATGCTTTGGTCAGAAACACATAAAAGTGAGTGACAGTCCACTGTGTGTGCAGGAGTGTCTCCCTCTGGTGGACCGAGGCTGTACTCACGCTCCCACGATGCTCACGCTGCCCTCCCTCTCAGGGTTTCCCAGACACTTCACCCTGCCGGCGCGCTCGTAGAAGGAGGCGAGGCGGGCGCCCAGGTAGGCAGGATACCCGCTGTCTGTGGGCAGAAACAGGAAGCACTTTAACGGGTAAAAGATACACTGTCCACCATCAAAGCAAACAAATATTCACATATAAGACCGCTGTAATTAAAAAGTCGTTTCAGTGGTAGTTACAATAAACCTAATGCCAGATATACCGAAGCTTAACTCATCCACCTTCAGCTCTTTTTACAATATCCAGGAGACTCCAAACTCACCAGCCGGCATCTCAGCCAGACGTCCAGAAATCTCCCTGAGAGCCTCGGCCCAACGGGAGGTAGAGTCGGCCATCATGCTCACATGGTATCCCATATCTCTGAAGTACTCAGACAGCGTGATTCCTGCCAATACAAGCTATAGTCAGCGTCTACCACTCACGTGAGAACACAAACACAGGAAGCATGTGATTTATTGTAACATACGAAACGTACCTGTGTAGATGGAGGCTTCTCGGGCGGCCACAGGCATGTTGGAGGTGTTGGCCACCAGCGCTGTTCTCTTCATGATGCTCTCAGTCTTCCCGTCCACCTCCATGGTCAGCTGAGGGTCAGAAGACACTGTCACTCACTCTGAACCTCATCAAGGGGAAGTATGTAAAAGCTTGAATACACTCAATGGCTGGGGCTCGTCAAATAAAGAGCTTTTTGAACATTAAAAGGAAACATGTCACAGTACAGGCAAACAAAACGAATATGAACCTGAAAATGAGCCTAATATGTCCTCTTTAACAAACGCCCACCTCTGGGAAGTCTCGCAGTACTTCTGACATCTCGTTACCGCGCTCCCCGCAGCCGACGTAGACGATGACGTCGCTGTTGGAGTACTTGGACAGCGACTGAGAGATGACAGTCTTTCCACAGCCGAACGCTCCTGGGATGGCTGTGGTTCCTCCCTGCACACACCTGCACACAAAGAGAGGAGAGGGGGGTTAGGGTTAGCCACGTCTCTTGAGCGATGAAGGTTAGTAAAGGAGGAGACGAACGGGAAAAGGGCATCCAGCACTCTCTGTCCGGTCAGCAGCGGGTGATTGGCCGGCAGCTTCTCTGTGACGGGTCGGACCTGTCTGACGGGCCACACCTGGATCATGGTGAACTTCTCCTTCAGCCCCTCGAACTCCAGCTCCATCACCACGTCCTGGGGCAGAGACGCAGGGCATTAACACAAACATCCGACAGTGGGAAACTGAGCATCAGGAGGAGGGGGAGGGGGACTTACGTTGACGTCGTAGTTTCCAGGCGGAGCCACGTAGGTCACCGTGCCTCTGTTCCTGGGAGGCAGCATGATCTTGTGCTTGATGAGGGAGTTCTCGCACACTATGCCGTAGATGTCTCCTCCTGTGATGTGGCTGCCAACCTGATAGGGATACAAAAAAATAAATATTGATATATCCCATTTGTATCCTAAGCTTACATTTTCAATTGATCATAATAGGTTTAATCTTTGAGCACATTGAACTACGTTGTCCCACGTGATAAAAGACCAAATATTGTATAACTTAGAAAATGGGTGCATTTCAGAAAATAGAAATGCACAATCAAGTATTTTACATCCATCATAACAAGTTGAATATTAAATATATGTACATTTAAAAACATCTAACTTCCTTTTCTATGCCCGTCTGTGTGTTTTTTCTTTCTTTCCCGTTTGTATTCCATAAAATGTAAAAAATCAATACAAATATAGTTTTAAAAAAGACAGAAAAAAACGTTCCTGCTTTTAAAACGTCTTCTATTATTGACCAAAGTGTTTTCTGTGTAATCTAACAATCAAAACAAATATTGTGGTAAATATAGTCTTTGGAAAGCTAAGGTTAAACATGTCAACATGAAGGTTGTCATCCTGCACACACCCGCAGGCTCTTGATGGGATTAAACTCCCACTTGAGGTCTCGGTTCAGGGCTCCGATGTTGACTCCTCGGGGGATGTAGATGCTCTGTGTCATGTCGTTGATGTCCTTCAGGGGTCGCTGGATACCGTCAAAGATGGAGCCCATGATCCCTGGACCCAGCTCCACGGAGAGAGGCTTCCCCGTCCGCAGCACCGGGTCTCCCACAGACACGCCGGCTGCACCCACGCTCAGGAAAAAACATTTAGACTGGGATGTAGGATTTACTCTGATGCATGAAAGCGTTTTGTAATTTTAATATCAGAGGGCAACGTTACTCCCCCTGCTGGCCTCTCATCACACAGACTAGGTGTGACCAAATAATGCTTTATCATTCTCATTAAAAAGGGCAAGAATGTGAGTTCTTTAAAATATGATTACCTCATATGTCACTTTATAAAGCCCAACTATTACAACCATCATTATTTTCTCACAGTTCATGGGTCGGAATATGTGCTGATTCACTTCTCCTTTCTTCTCGCTTTAAAATAAAACACATTTGCTTCATCGTGTTATTAGATAAAAAAATAATGTGTCGTATGGATTAAAACACGCCATATTTTTGTGCTCATGGTAAATATATTGTGTCTTAAATGTTCGTATTGTCTCATTCTTCTGCAACATTTGATAAATATTATATTACAGAGATCTAAAGCAGAGGTGGTTGTATCACTCTTTTTGGCTCCCTACGGATAACATGTGATGGGTTAAACCTTATGGCTGCCATAATGGATCAATATAAGCTGTGACATTGAATTCAAAAGGCAGGGAATACACAGTCGCACGTCCAGAAGGATACATGTCTCCTCGTAGACCTGGATGGTGGCCATGTCTCCCTCCAGCCGGATGATCTCTCCCACCAGCTCACTGTGGCCGACTCGCACCAGCTCGTACATGGCTGCTCCCGCCATGGCTGTCGCCGTCACCACTGCAGAAACACAAGGTAAACATTAACAGCCCACAAAGAGGAAGAGCAGAACAAGTCTTTTGTTTGTGTTGCTGCTCAAATATTGAATGAGCATTGTCCCTGTGTCTGTTTTAAAGGCTTCTTGTTGGGATAATAGTGAATGTCCTCTTCCAACATGAGTCCACATGATAACAAAGGTATCCCAACTGTAGCTGTGAACATGACAGGATGTGTGATTACCTAGAAGAGCATCAGGACTGTTTGAGGCATATGATAGCTATGTGATTAACATGATGATTCAGCCTCTATGGAGAGAGACATCAAGCATGCTCATTTCTGACGTGGAGCTAATCTGAAGTAAACATTGAATACTGCTTTCTTCCTCCATCTTGTGACTGTGTAACTCCCTCTCTTGGATATCAGCATGTGAAGGACACTGTTCAGGAACTAGTTGATGCTCTGTATGTGATGACTACTTCCATTCTGGAGAGGATCACAGATACATGGATCCTGAGATTGAAGCTCAAGCCGGGGACCAGGGATATTTTTCTAACACTTCTGTAGTAATTCTGCAGGATGTAATGGTGGTGTTTATGTGGCCAACCTGGTCCGGAGACTCCATGGACGAATCCAAACTCGCTCTCCCTCTCCTCGTCCCTGATCCTGGGCAGGTTGGACATGTCCATCTTCACGGTTTATAAATCCAACTGAAAGGAAACAAACAAAGTAAGGACACAGAGCAGGAAAGAAGGAACTAACCACAGGGCTCAAGGAGAGGCTGATCATTACTGTGAAACGCTTATAACCAAATGTGTGTTTTTACATTTGAATTATTGAGCGCTTTTATTAGAAGCAGAAGCGCAGCTGTGGGCAAGAGCTCTTTGATAACTGCAGTCATTTCATGAGACCACACAGAGCTGCTTAAGAACTGAGACACTGTTACCAGCCTTATAATTACACATAAAGCATTTAGTTCATATTTATCTGTGAAGAAGTAGAGTCGTTCTCATGATCACACAAAATAGATTTCTCACCATAAAAGGAGACAAAATGAAAAATAACCCATAGAAAATATATTTAAAAGTTAAAGATAATATGGAAATAACCCACTTATTCAGATGTAAATATGTGCGTAGCATCGTGCCATACCTCGATAGTGGCATCTCCTACTGTAACCATGGAAACCACTAGTAAAAAAACATCCCTGCTGCTCACGACTCTTTATTTCTCATGAGCATTACGGTGCCTTTTCCGGGCCAGGCCTCCTTATCTGCTGCTTCAGGTGCAGGAGAACAGTCGGTGTGACATAAGAGGGGAATCCCACTCCAAGTGGTGCATGATTCCACATTTCTCCTCTTGCAGGAATAACAAGCCGTCATGAGTCGTGACACAAACCCATCCTCACAGAGAGCTGACTGCAGATGCACTGCCCGTATTAAAAATCTGATTCATCTGCAATATTCTGTGGGCGTCACACAAAGCAATCCATTCAACATGCTCTTACTTCCTGAATGTGCCATTTATAATTCTCTATTTGATATTCGTAACACACATTCAGTTCTCCACATCCATGCCCTTTTCGTGTCCTTCCCACTGACGCACAGATCTTCCTGTTTATGCTGCTCAGCCCATCTGTGCAGGAACATAGCAGCTCCACCAAAGGACCAATGCAGGAATTACAAGACTGGCACCTAATGAGGTTTCACTCAAACGGAGCACAACTTCCACATTAATCATGCCTTGAAGTATCTATGTCAACTTCTTTTTTAAATAGCTTCTAAAAAGGAGAAAACAGTGAGCAGATAAGGTCTATTGTTCTGGTGATTAATTCACATATTATAACAGAGAAATCTCTATCTGCTTGATGAGTTTCAATCTCCAAATCTAGATTTACTTCCTAAAAAAGGCCTTATAATGCCACCATATTTGATCCAAGCTGTTAATGGCACATTGATCTGTGTTAATCCCTGCTGCAACAACAGACACTTGATCATATGATTGTAGCACATGACTAGTCGGCCTGGTCTCTATGAGTGTCTTTAAGGAAGTGGGAACTAGCATGGTGCAAAACTGGGAAGTACACGTTATGACGGTGTGAGGACACACCGAAGACACATTCTTCCACATGACTACAATCCATAATAAAGATAATTGTACCCTTCCTTACTATACTGCTGACCTTAGGTGTCTGCTGGTTAATGTGTGCTGGGTACTAAAGAAAGGATTGCATATATTCAATTGTTGGAAACGTGTAGGTTTGATGTCAAAAATAGACTCAGAAATATCACATGTAAGTGCAAAACATCCTGACACAATGATGTAAATTGCAAATTCCTTACATGCAGGTAGTTGGTCGCATGGTAGTAGCTTAAAGGTTTTGTTTTAATGTAAAAACACATGCCAAAATAAAGATATAATGGCCTTAGAATAACCTGGGGGGTTGTTTATGACATATGTAATGTGAAATTGTATTTATGAAGGATATCTAGTGCGACAGCTTAACTAGAAACTAATTTACTGACACCGAAATTTGTCTAAAAACAAAAAAATATGATAAATAAAATAGATTTTCATTCAACCCCACTGAATTGATAAGGTTATTCGGTGTTGTGAAAACGATAGCAGGTCCTCGGCCTGGCTGAAAATCGATGGTTCTTCCGTTTTTTGTTCCACCAAATGTTACATTATCCACACACGACCAGGATACAAGTGCATAATATCGACAACACAGGTAAATACAATGCTTTAGTTACCGTCTTGGTGTGGAGTGGTGGTTTACTGTCTTGCCTCGAGAGAGAGAAACGTTGGTTGCTGCGGTGCGTGACAGCAGACTGAGATCAGCTGACTTAATTCACTGCTGTTTTACTGCTGGGCCCAGGCAACTGGCGCCATTTTGGCTCCTCCTCCGGGCTCTGCCGTAAAGAGTTTACAAGTGTTAGAGATTGACAACTGTGGATGGAGATTCGTCTAGCAACACATGCAAGAATACTACTGTGTTGCCTGTTTTAACTTAATACCTTCAATTTATAAGAATTTAAATAACAGACATATGTACCCAGTTGTGGAATATAATTAACACAATTGTATAGTATTAATTGGATACTTTTCCAGAGTATTTTCCACACTCTGGTATTAGGTACTGTCGGGTTGAGAAAGGAGACTATCTCTTAAGCGCTTAATATCTTTACAGGAACGTTTGAGCCAAAATGGAGGCACTATCACAAATTGCTGTGGGGAATTGTTTACTTCATTTAAATCGCTCTCTCTCTGTTCCAACATAAAGTTGCAATTTTAAGAGAATGTAGTTGTTTGTTTTGTTGTTGTTTTCGTGGTCATTGCTTTTTCCCCTGATCTGTGGTCCACACTCCCATACAGTAGGTGGCGGTAATGCAACTTTAACGCCGGTTGCCACCCGCCATAAGACCGTGGAAAGAAGAAGGAGCCGTGTTTGTGCGCATGCGCGGGGTCAGGGTTGACAGTTTCCAGTCGTGGAAAGAGTGCGGCGGCTAAGCTAAGTGCTACCACCGCAAAACTAGCTACATGTGGAGGGTAAAACGGGAGCCATCCCCGACCCTTACTCTGTCAAAACCCCTCCTTTTTTACCCAGAACAACTCTAAAGTTCAGCATCATCGAACATAAGGGATAATATCTGTTTACAATGAAAGGGTGAGTGTAATCTTTTGAGTCACGATTAAGTAGCTTAGCACGAGTAAAGTTTTCGGTTTTTTTTGTACAAGGGGAGGAGACGGCGAGGCTAGCTAGCTTGAAAAGCTACTTTTAATAAGGTGTAGCAGGAAAAAATACAAAGGACAGCACCGTTATAGAAACAGTTCTGTGAAGAATGTGTTGGTTAACTTAAGTCTGTTCGTTTAGACGGCGAACAAGCAAAGCTAACTAGCTAGCTGCTACTAGGGAGCTGAGTCAGTAAACCTACTTTAAGCTAAGCTACACACACTTTGGAGATTCAAAGCCTTTTATTGTCATAGTAGCTAGAGTGTAGTCATGGCAATGAAAATATGAAGTCACAGTCTCCTCCAACAATGGAACATAAATATATTTATAAGACATACATTTTTTTTTTTAAGAATACAAATAGTGCAAGAAGAAACCGTAGAAATAAAATAGTGCAAGATTAAGAAGTCAACTATATATGTCAAATAAAATAAGCTACACGATCAAGTAAATGCATATTCATGTAAAAGATCTACAAGAACAGAATGTATCATTAAATACTGTAATGTGGAATAAATACTGGTAATTGTAGTAATAAATACATTTGTGTGATGTAAACAGATCAATGTATTCTGGCCTGTGAGATAACACTGAGTATTTGTGTGTGTATTTGTCAACAACAGCTACATTTAACTTCAGCTGCAGGGGGGTAGATCACAAAGTTACTGCACAAGCTAATAGCACATTGAGCAATCCTGTGTCAGTTACCTTGCTAACGTTACAACTGACATCAACTTCAGAGCCTCATCCAGCTTGCTCAGTGTAACCTGACATATCGAAGTAGGTTAACACACCAGCAGGGGTGATGGACGATGTAAAAAAAAAAGTTGGCCACGGTGTTAATTCTCAGATAACATGAGGGCTATTAACGCTGAACTGTTTGAATGTTCAGATAGGATTTCAGAGGCGGTACTGTTTGAAGTTTAGCCGGATGCTGGCACTGTATATTTTCATGAACAACACACGTGGCCAACAGCTGTTTTTAGGATGTTTGGATGACTATAAATATCACAGTGAACCCCTCAATCATACACATGAGCTGCAGAGTAGTGTTAAGTCACTCACTAAGGCACTTTATTATAACACACATATTCACAGGTTATCGTGTCTCTTGATTTTAACAGATGCCATATCAATTTCTTAGTAAATATAGGGCAACAAATTCAGAACATTACATTTGAAATTATTTTTGAAGACCTCTCAAGTAACCAATTTAACCATTTCAGTTAAAACAAATTCTCAAAGTGACCTTTTGTGAGTCCACTGATCTTGAATGTACCTGTGTACCGATTGCCAGCCATTTGACCGTTTTGCTCTTGTTCCAGTAGCCGGATCGAGCTGGGGGATGTTACGCCCCACAACATAAAGCAACTGAAGCGCCTGAACCAGGTCATCTTCCCTGTCAGCTACAACGACAAGTTTTACAAAGATGTCCTGGAGGTTGGAGAGCTTGCCAAGCTAGGTAAGAAACCTCTAACATTAAACTCTCTCTGCACATTAAGCATTCTTCTTGACCTGCTTTGTTTCCTCAGACACAGCCCTGTCTGTTGGTGATATTTTAGTCCCTGATCTTTGTCTTGCAGCATACTTCAATGACATTGCAGTGGGAGCTGTGTGCTGCAGAGTGGACCACTCTCAGAACCAGAAGAGACTGTACATCATGACGCTCGGCTGTCTAGCACCCTATCGTAGACTTGGAATCGGTAAGCAGTTCCAGATCTCTAGAAGAAGGTGCAGAGCCCTTTGGGATCTTTTGTTTCTAACTCTGCCCTTTGTCTTTCTCTCCAGGTACAAAGATGCTGAATCATGTGCTAAACATCTGTGAGAAGGATGGCACGTTTGACAACATTTACCTGTGAGTGTCTAATTGCAGACCTTGTGTAACAATATATCATTGCCATCTTAGTTGATTCTACAAAAGCATCTGTTCCATCACTAACCTAATTTCCTCTTTCCCTCTCCACAGTCATGTGCAGATCAGCAACGAGTCAGCCATCCACTTTTACCAGAAATTTGGCTTTGAGATCATCGAAACGAAAAAGAATTACTACAAGAGGATAGAGCCCGCAGACGCCCATGTGCTGCAGAAGAGTCTGCGCAGCCCATGTGCCCCCCCCACCGGAGAGCTTCAGAAGGCAGAGTAGGGGCGCAGCGTTTGGAAAGAGCACAAATGTGCCGCCTCCACAGAAACAGAACTGTGACAAATGCCCCAGGGTCGACACATTCAACACTTTCTTCAAAGGACGCTAAAAAGAGAAAACAAATATAGTACAAAAAATGCTGCATTTATTTTGCAAAGAGGTCACTCTTTGATTTTTGAATATTTTATTGCTCCCCTTTCCTCATACCAGATAATTGAACATGACAAAAAGCTCAGAATCCAAAAGTGCT